GTGAGGGTGAGGGTGAGGGTCAGGGTAGGTGAGGGTGAGGGTGGGGGTGGGGGTGAGGGTGAGGGCGAGGGCGAGGGTGAGGGTGAGGGTGAGGGTGAGGGTGAGGGTGAGGGTGAGGGTGAGGGTGAGAGCGTGAGGGTCAGCTGCGCGCGCGCGCGCCGCTGCAACACGCCGATGCGGTCATTCGACTCGCGCAGGTACGCCCCGACGGGCGACGCGCGGAGAAGAGGCAGCGGGACGAGGGCGAGTACGTCGCGGCCGGTCGGGTCGAGCTGCGAGCGGCCCCAGCTCGGCTTGAGCTCGTTGATGCGCTCGTTGACCGAGAGCAAGTGCTCGAACAGCGACGCGCCCGCGCCGCCGCCACGCAAGCCGCGGCAGAGGACGTACCTACCGCACCACCCACGGGACTGAACCCACACTGGGTTCGGTACTCTGGGGGTATGGTACTCGCGCCGACCTCTCGGAGTTGGCGGGGCGCGACTGCGCGGGCTTGTACAGCGCGATCGAGGAGAAGTGCGCCGCCATCAGGTGGAGCAGGCCCGCCGAGAAGGGCGTGAAGACGTCAAACGCCTTGCACACAAAGTGGCCCCCCTCCCGCAGCGAGCCGGCGGCGGCGGCGAACTGCGTCAGCAGCAGCTGCTTGTTCATGAGCTCCTGGATGTTTTCGTTGCCCGACACGTCGAAGCCGCCGTCGGCCATCATCATGTGCAGCCCTTGCCCGTCCGTCGAGCGCATCACGAGCTCGCGCAGCCCGCGCAGGTTGGGCGACGAGTACAGGTCGCCGTCGTTGGCCGGACCGTAGTAGGGGTGGAAAAGCTCGGCCGGCGCGCAGCCGTGGAAGCGGCCGGGCGTAAAGTCGTGGTCGCCTGCGGGGGGAGAGGGGGAGATAGGGAGATCTGGGGGAGCGGCCGGGCGTACAGTCGTGGTCGCCTCGCAGCGTGAAGCCGAACCCCTTTGCGGACCCGCCCCGCCGCCACAGCACGTACTCTGCGAACCCGCCCGGGCCGGCGGCGACGTCCCCAAAGTAGAGCAGGCCGGGCGCCGGCTTGGGCGGCGGCGGCGGCGGCGGCGGCTGCCCCGGCGCCGCGTGCTGGCCGCGCGCGGCCTCGGAGGCGGCGCGGTAGTGCCACGAGACGGCCTCGTCGTAGGCGGAGGGCGGGTCGGGCGCGTCGGCGCACGAAAAGATGCCCTCGAGGGCGGTGTCGATGGCGGCCATCTTGAGCGCGGCGCGGTTGAGGAAGAACTCCTTCTT